AGAGGAGGAGCCGAGCGGCAGCGCGCAGAGATCGAAGAAGATTGAGGGAGCTGCAGGAACGAGTGAAGAGAGAGGCCAGAGAAGGAAGACAGCTGACAGGTAAGTGCAAATTTTGCTGCTGCAGCCAGGTATGCAGGCTGTAGATGGGAGAGGGAGAGAGCGAGCCCAGGCTGGAGCAGGAGTCAGCAAGGTAATTATCATTGGTGTCAGTGGAAGGGATAGTGCCCCATCATTTGTGTCACTAATACCAACGATGGGGCACTATTCCTCCCCCCACTGACACCAACGATGGGGCACTATTCCTCCCCCCACTGACACCAACGATGGGGCACTATTCCTCCCACTGACACCAACGATGGGGCACTATTCCTCCCCCCACTGACACCAACGATGGGGCACTATACCTACTATACCCCCCCCACTGACACCAACGATGGGGCAGACAGATGATATTCCTCCCCTCACTGACGCCAACGATGGGGCACTATTCCTCCCCCCACTGACGCCAACGATGGGGCACTATTCCTCCCCCCACTGACGCCAACGATGGGGCACTATTCCTCCCCCCACTGACGCCAACGATGGGGCACTATTCCTCCCCCCACTGACGCCAACGATGGGGCACTATTTCTCTCCCCCCACCGACGCCAACGATGGGACACTATTCCTCCCACTGACGCCAACGATGGGGCACTATTCCTCCCACTGACACCAACGATGGGGCACTATTCCTCCCACTGACACCAACGATGGGACACTATTCCTCCCACTGACACCAACGATGGGACACTATTCATCCCACTGACATCAGTGATGGGGCGCTAGTCCTCCCACTGCAAAATTACAGTTATGAAGTAGCAACGAAAATAATTTTATGGTTGGGGGTCACCACAACATGAGGAACTGTATTAAGGGGTCGCGGCATTAGAAAGGTTGAGAACCACTGCTTTAGGGACTCCATATCTTCAAAAGTTAAGTCCATCTTTTTAGAGACTTTAGATAAGGGGGCGTCTAACTTTGGAACTTTGTTCCATCCCTGGGATCTGTCTTCATCAAAAAGGAAAATCTCCTTTTAAGATTACCTAAAAAAAAAAAAAAAAAAAAAAAAGGGCTTCCATTTAGGGTTTTTCCACACCAGCTTAATGGTATCAACCAGGGAACTATGGACTGGAAAGACCCTAGTCTTTTTAGCATGTAGACCCTGATACATGAGGTTATGTTTAGACATATGTTCTCCTCGATCTCTAAGGTTTCATAGATAGCCTTAAGGAGGTCATCTACATCAAGGGCCGATTTGTACCTGGAACCTCTGGAGGAGCAAGCTTCACCGTTATCCTCCTCTGAACCCAAACCTGCCTGTGAGGAAGCAATGGACCTAGGATCTTGTTCTGCGTCGTCCTCCCTTCTCAACACTTCTGATACCGCAGTACCCGCCGACGGGGTCTAAAGGTCCCAGCGGTATCTGCATTCTATCCAGCAGGGATCTAAATGACAAATGTAGTTGTCGTGTCATCCTTAATAGTGGTAAGAAACCTATGGCAGGCTGTAAATGACTCATCCTTAGACTATCCACACAATTGCAGCATAATGGCTTTTCCCAAGCTCAACCCAATTTTGCCACACAAACTGCACACTTCCTTTTAGGGGCCTGCTTGCTTGGCGGTGCCAACGCCTTCCATCACGTCCTTTGTGGTGTGGTAGCCACAGCCTCTGCTAGGTCTCACACCGCACCAGCCACCCGAGCCTGTTGCATGCACTGCTATGGAGACTGGAACCATGAGTCTCCTGACGATGACTTCACCACAACTTCCAGTTGACCAGCTTTGAGTGCAGCTGCTTTGCCGCCTGGAAGTCACAGCTGCCCACTCTGCAATCAAGGAAGCTGACTCAGCCCCCAGGCTCCACAGCAGGCCACCACAAACGGCGCGGGGGGGGGGGGGGGGCGCATGTGGACCGCACCTCTCAGGGGGTTGCTGGGGGGGGGGGGGGGTCACCAGGAGCACAGCTCCACTCCTCTGCAGACATGGAAGGATCGCACCAGGCAAAGAAGAGGTACTGTACCAAAAACAGGAGACACCAGCACCACCCTTGAGCCTAGGGCTCCCATACTGGTTCCTTTGAACATGTATCTGTCCTTCTGGAGGAACTATTAAAAACTGAATAGAGGGGCCTGGAGGTCCAGCTTTTAAGGTTCTGGGCGTACAGGTTTCCTGTATAAGGCTCTACATCTCAAGGGGTTGTCCTGGAAGATGTTTTGAGAAATCTACATCTCTACGCAACAAACTCACTAAGCGCCATTACATGCCTCATCCAATATAGACAAAGGTCCATTCTGCAAGGATGTTTAAATGTAACCAATGTGACCTATGTTCTTGTATCAATTCAGGTAAATTATTCACCCTACCTAACAGGGCGATTTCCACCCTAAACTTTGCATGGATTGCAACACAGAAGGCGTGGTATATCTTATGACCTGCAAATATGGGGCCTTCTATGTTGGCAAGACTCAAGAAGTTACGACTCAGATTTGATACCACTATGGTTTAATTTATGGTATTGGATGTAATTCCCAAGGAGCCCAGAGGGGGTAACTGGTATAAAAAACACATACTGCAAAAAGTGGTTTCAGATTGAATGGTCAAATGCTACATGCACACCAGACATCAATGAAATTTTATTCTACAAACCATTTTTGTAATCTATACCCAGTAGTCCTTTGTATCTGATTAAAATCTTACTATAATAAGTTTAATCATTGACAGTCATGCTTGTTTAACTCTGCACCTGTTCAAGTTCCTCCATATTTTAGCACATGGGGCTGTGGTATAACTGAGCCAGTATTACTGTATTGAATTGTCACCATTTAATGATTCTGGAATATATCCATTTGTTATATTTGATTGATATGCATCTGCTTGGGGTTGTGTAGGGTGGGCATTTGGTCCCTGTTATGGATGGCACAGTGATCAATGGGTGGCTGTTAGCACCACAGACGTGGTCCCTGTGTTGCCACACAGGGACTTGGCTGCCGCGTTCTATTGATGCTGCCCGCTTCCAGGAAGGGCTGTCCAACATGGCCACCAAGTGTCACCCACTGGTGCATTCCCCACCATCTTTAAGGTGGTTTAATGTGGCATGCATGTGTGGACAGGTTCAGTGATGTCAAATGGCGCAGGCATCCTGGGAGTAGTGGCTCACGGCAGTGGCATTTCAGGCCTTTGTATTGAACATTTTTCACATCTTTATAGGTACAGTAAATGTCATTTGTCTTACTGAGAGAAATTTAACCATGGGGGGGGGGGGGGGGGGGGGGGGGGGGAAATGGCACATACCTCTGCAGATTAATACGATTGGCTAAAGGAGATCTACTACTATCCAGGAAAGCCATAGTACAGACCAGTATTACACCCCAGAAGGCATATTATTAATCTGTCAGGTCACTATTGGGGGCTGATCCAGGGCCTATGACCCTTTATTGAATTTGCAGGCAAGGTTTGATACCTGTGTTTCCTTTATCAGCTGTTTTTACCAGTTTTCTAAAACCAGGGTCTTAACTGTGGACTGTTTGGGCCTCCATGCTCCCCCAAACCCACACACACTGCACCTCCTTTGTTTTTCTTATAGACCCTTATACACAATATTTGCCTCTCCAGGCTGACTCAGGTGGTTTCGTACCAGAACAATAGCCAGCAGCCCCACTATGGTCAACAGGGAGGTTAGTTTATCCTTCGATTTATAATTGGTATAATCCATTTAGCAAGACCTTACTATACCCTCTTCAATCCTTATATACCTATTTATGCACCAGGTACTGTCATAGGGTGTGCAGTCTGCTTATTGGTGTTGCTGGGATCCCCTCATCATTGGTGGTTTAAATGCTTCCCTCCAATTTCTACGGGCAGATGTATGTACCTTGAATTATCTGTTCTAGTTACCATCTGTTCTGATTGATGTACATTGTAAATATTACATATGTTGTATTTGTTGCTCAATGAATTTTCTCATCTCACTTAGAAATCTTCTTAAAAAACTCCATAAGTGGTATCATCGCATTACTATTTAAAGAGTACACCCCAGCCCCCCCCCTATTGATGAGATGCAGCATCTCTTTTAAATTGTGGGGTTTATTAACAGCATATGACTGCATTGATCTTGTATGTTACAGGGTTAGGACACATTCTGTAACAATTTTATATGTACTATGTTTGTAAGATGTAACACTTTATTGAACATGCACAAATTGTTGTCTATACACTTTATCCATATAAAGCAGATTTAAATGCCATACTTGCCTATACACAGGGTACAGTGCAATGTATCATGGGTATAACATGCATTTCACTGTATGGCTTCACACTAGGCATTAGTATAAACCAAGTTAAATCTTTGAGATGGTAGACTGCAGTGAATTCCTTTTGAGGGAAATCACAAAAAAAAAAAAAAAAAAAAAAAAAAAAAACAAAAAAAAAAACACCCAAACACACAAAACCAAACTTATGGAAGTCATCCTGACCAGTGAACCCCCAACCTAACAGCCAAGTCAACCCACAAAGCAGAAAATTCTAGACCAAAAATTGTCCTCCAAGCATGCTTCTAGACTGTGGGAAAAATTGCAATGTCCCATATAATCAATTCAGTTTGTGCATCAGTGCAAGGTTAATACTTGCTGTAGAGAACCCCTTTAAACAGGTCACCATTGGGTCTGGTTTTATTGTTGTGGTAATGAGATAGCTTCCTCCCCCTTCAAGTCACCATGAACCACAAATCAGGGTGACATAGTGAGAAACCTTCCAGCATACAGTCTTAAAAATGCAAATTAAAAACCCACAACACTTTTAAAAAACAGGGAAAAATTTTATTTTGTATTCAGGAGTCCCAGCAGTCAATGTTGCATAAGAATCTTAAAACTTCTAAAACTATTTACAAAAGTCAGCAGCATTCATGCCTGGATTGGCAGTTCCAAAAAAAGTGCAAAAGTGGTAGCCGTTTTCAAAGCTAGTTTACTGGGAAGTCAAACTTGCAGCCAGTTCTGTAATAACTGGTGACATCAGATGAGGATGTGTACTGATTTTCATCAGCTTGCTGCTGGCATACTTATTCCTTACAGCCTGAAAACAAAAATTAATGGCATCAGTACAGCAATACAGAGGAAATCTATCTAAAGCCCTATTCTTTTGGCTAGAGTAGAAACTCTAGAAATGAGAGTACCATCTGTGCCAATGGAGAGATTTCATATCACCCCATGCACAAATGGAGGAAAGGCTCTCAAGTGAGAAATTCATGAGTTTTTGATAAGTGCCCAGGTGGTGGGCAGCAATGTGACAAAGGATCTAGCCCCTCACTAGAAAATGAAGTTTTTTTGCTTCGGACTTTATAGTTGTAGCCAAGATGCACTCCCTAAACCAGCAAGTTCAACCCAATTCATAAAAGAACTTAAAGGCAAAGCCTTAAAATTAAGCAATGCTGCATCAAGCTAAAAGAAAGTTTACCTTTCTGAACAGTTTCCTGGCCCATAACCTTACTACCCTACTGTAGTATTTACAGCTACCTTTAGTACTTCACAAAAACCTGTATGTGTGCCTCAACATGTCTTCATATGCTGCTGAAACTCCTTCCCATCCCACAATACAGTGGGTCTGGGGGGCAAATTGCTAGTTTGAAAAATTGCAGCAAATAGTGTGCAGAAGACTGCAGGCATTCCGTTCTATGAAATCCATTTACTAAAGCCAAACCCTCAAAAAAACCCATGTCTTTACACTATGCTATGCAGTGTTTCTGGATGGATCAGCAAGTCACTTACCACATGCTTTGTCTGATTCTGGTTGACTTTGGTAACATTTTTAGCCATGTGTTTCATGATCCGAGTCAGATCTTCCTCTGTGTAGCCAGTGTAGTGGTGCTGTGTGGGCCCCTAACAAGTCAACAAAAAAAAAAAAAAAAAGAAAAAAAAAGGAGGTATCCAAATATACAGAACAGATATGGCCAATACAAAAACCTTTGGCATGGAACTACACCGCATGAAGACCCTTTACAGGTATATTCCCCCCACACCCTGCCTGAAAGAAAAAAAAAAAAAAAAAAAAGATATTTTTTTTAACTCCTCTACTGAAGTTACTAGTTTCAGCTCTGACCATCAGTTCTCCTGCTGAAAATAATCCCTTATGCTTAGGAGGGAGAGGTGTCAATTCTCAGCAGTGAAGACTCCTGGCACAGCTAACACTGCTTGTCATGTTAATGCAGCAGTGTCAGGCAACTCACTATGTTTCCAGCAGATACACTTTCCTGAACCATTTTAACCAATTCAATACCATGCAATTTTACACCTTCCTGCCCAGGCCATTTTTCAGTGCTCACACTTTGGGTACAATGTTGTATGACTGCGCAATTGTCATTCAAACTAAAATTTTATAATTTTCTTCACACAACTAGAGCTTTTTGGTGGTATTTAATCGCTGGGGTTTTTATTTTTTGCTTAACAAAAAAAAAAAAAAAAAAAAAAAGAATTTTTGAAAAAAAAAAAACCCACACGTTTGTTATAAAAGTTTGCAAATAAATAATTGTTCTTCATAAATTTAGGCCAAGATGTATTCTACTACATGTCTTTGGTGAAAATAACCCAAATTAGGATGTATTTTTTTAGTTTGTAGGAAAGTCATAGAGTTCAAACTATGGTATAGATCTGAATATTGATCAATCCTGAAGTACTGACAGCCAATCTAATTTCTTGAGGTCCAAGAATGTCAGAATAGTACAGATATCCCCCAAATTACCACTTTTTGCAAAGTAGACAGATGTACTTCATAAGAGGAATGGCGAGTTTTTTGAAGTTGTGTCATAATTTCAGAAAATGAAAAAAGTCATTATTTTTTTCGCCCATACTGTCACCAGTACAGCATCATCATATAACTGGCATGACAGTGATCAGGGACACCGACTGGTGACCGAGAAAGAAAAAAAAAAAAAAATTTGTACTACTTTGGGGAAGTGATCAGTATTTGTTGTGTGCTTAGCTGTGATTTGGCCACAGCTAATCACATGACATGTGCATGTGATTAGCTGTGAACATTCACAGCTAGACACTAGCATACAATGGATGGCATCCATTGTATACAACCGTCATGTGACCAGCTGCGATGGGTCACAGCAGGTCACATGGTACCAGCAACGGGGTACTCAGATCTGTCATCGGCCGTGTCCAAGGTACACGGCCGGTGACAGATTGCGCCGCTGCACGGCTTTGCAAGCGCGAACTGCGCATGTGCGGGAGGATGCCATATGGCAGCCTCCCAGAAAGCAAATACATTTTTACGGACGCCATTTGGCCATAGGCCGGTCGTCAAATTGTTAAAATGCAGGTCAAAAATATTCACACTTATACAGAGGCAATTGTCAGCCATTACAACCACCACAAGCTTTGCATGTGGAAATCTGTTTCTTACCCAGCTGCCAACATAAAGGACCTTTTGAGCCAAGCAGAGTGCAGCTGCTGCAACCTCAGAAGGGTTAAAATGGACCATTTCGTAGTCAACAAGGGTAAGTTCCATTAGGTACTTTGCTAGCGTGTGTTGCTCTGCATCAGCCTGCATTTAAAAAAAAAAAAAAAAAAAAAAAAAAAAAAAAAAAAAAAAAAAAAAAAAGGCGCATGTTATAAAATTGATAAGATGCGGTTACCACCAACAAAGAGCATTATCTAGGCTGTTCAGACAAGCATGCACACTGCTGTAGATAGGGGGGGGGGGGGGGGGGGGGGGTGGGGGGGGAGAAAGTATTGCAACATTCCATACCTGTAGTCATGTCTGCTGTGCATCCCATTTTACACAGTTAGATTTCCCCTTCACTTGGCTGCCCACAGAACAAAGTTTCACTGGTAAAGAGTTACTTACCGGTAACCATTTCCAGGCCAGCCCATGCGATGTAGAGCTCCTCCCATGAGAAAGGAAAACCAGTTACCCCACACAGAATTAAAAAGGTGGTCCTCCAGCCTCAATAAACCACAAGTACTGAAGGACAGACCTGACAAACAGCATAACAATGCATTGGGTGGGAACCCAGCTATCCTGGAAGACGCCAAGAAATGGAGTTACTGGTTTTCACTCTAGTTTTCCCAAGTAGTCTTCCAGAACAGCTCACTAGATGTTAAGCAAGAACTTACCAACCTAGGGTGGGCCACCACCTGGAGGACCTTATGTCCAAATGATTGCTCCCGACTGTTCAGGAGATCCACGCAGTAGTGCTTAACGAATCTCGAGAAGCTTGACCAAGTAGCTGCTTTGCAAATGTGATCTGGGGAAGGACCAGTTCTTCTGCCCAGAATGTGGATAAGGCCCTAGTAGAATGTGCATTAATGAAAGGCACTGACAATCCATTGGTTTGGTAGCAACAAGAAATGGCTTGCTTCATCCATCTGGCAATAGTTGGCTTAGAGGCCTGAAAACCTTGACGTTTGCCTGCAAAGAGGATAAGTCAGACCTTCGGAATGGTTTGGTTACAACTAAGTAATGCAAGTGACATCTTCCATCCAGTCGACAGAAATGCTCTTCCTTTCCATTGGCAGCAGAGGCACAGAGGGAGGGTAGCACAAGGTCTTGTGACCTGTGAAAAGTCGTAGCTATGTTCAGTAAAAAACCCAGGTCTGTTTTCAGAATAATCCTGTCAAATACCAGCAAAAGGTTTTGATAGAGCTTGCAACTCACTTATTCTACGAGCCGTAGTGATTGTGGGGGAAAAAAAAAAAAAAAAAAAAAAAAAAAAAAAAAAAAGTGGCTCTAGTAACTGGCTTACGATAGTTGACCAACATTTCGACTACCCCATCTGAAAAGCCTTCCTGCTTTAACTGCCCCTTGGATATCATGCCGAGAGGTTTAACATGTCCAAGCCCAGACAACAAACTGGTCCTTGTGACAGAAGATCCTCCCTTTTTGGAAGAAACAAGGGAGGGCAAACTGCTAGGGATTTCAGGAGGGCAAACCAAGGATGTAGGCCAATGTGGTGCCATCAGGACGAGATCTAACTTCTCCAGCTGAATTTTTTTATTACCACTGGGATTAATCTGAAGGGGGGGGGGGGGGTAAGCTAGACTGTAAGGCCATGGATTTGCTAGAGCATCTAAGGCCACTACCGCATCCATGGAGAAAAATCTCTGAACATTTGCATTTGAGAGAGGCAAACCGATCCATATCTGGGTTGGATCCCCCCAGTGGGAGAAAGGAGTCATTGGAGGATTAAACAAGATTCCTCTATTTTTCCATTGTTGCCTGCTTAATGTTTCCTTGGCCTGGCCACTTTACCCAGTTCAGTTTGCTGCCTTTGGCCACAAGCGTTACCCAACACCCTGTGCTCTTTCTGGGAAAGCCTTTTTATCTGCCGTGTGATCCAATGCCTCCTGCAACCCGGGAACAAACAGGTCATCTCCCATAAAGGGCAGCGCACACAACCAAGCCTTGGAGGCAGAATCACTGGACCAAGTTTTAAGCCAAAGTGATCTTTAGCAGAAGAACTAGAGCTGAAGCTCTAGCTGCCACTCTGCTTCTGCAGAAGAGTCTGCAAGAAACCCAACAGCTTTGAAGAGCATAGGGAAAGATTTTAAAATTTTGTACATCAAGTCATGTCTGGAAAGATGGACTCAGTCTTCCATTTCTATCATTTTGTAAACGGCATTTAGCAAGTCATCTACTTCCTCCAGAGAGCTTGTATCTCAATGACCTAGTACCTGAGATATCTCCCTCTTCTGAGGGAACATTCAGAGGAGTTCACCCCCAAAAGCTCTATCTACGAATTCCATCCCGAGTTTCACAGGCATATAGGTCTTGGCTGTGGAAGGACCAGCTTCCTTTGAGGAAGGGGAAGGTGGGGCAGGATTTTCTTCTCTTTTTAAAACCCTTTAGTCTTGAAGGAACTGAACGCGATTACCAACGCTTTACGACACAAGCTGAGGTACAGTCCTCCTTGACAAGATTAACAGGATCGGCACAAGGACTTGCTCCAAGTAGAACCCAATTTGACTGCACATTTTCTTCTCTTGGGGTCAGGACCTTTGGTCTGCAAAAGACACTGCTCTACACTGGATGACAGAGACAGCAAACCCTAAACTCAAGATGCAGTCTCCAGATAAGGTAAGGCTGACTATCCACCCTGCCCCATCCCTCTCCACAGGGGGGACCCACTGGTCAAAAGGGATGTCACTGTCTGGCCCTGGAAGGGTCAAGCCTGTCAGCCTAATATCCAATCCTCTAGGAGAAGAGTGCTGCGGGGCCTAGAAGACAGAAGAGGGGAGAAAAAAAAAAAAAAATCCCTCCCCAACAGAGCTTCCAACCAGCCTTGGGGAAGAGAACTTCTCACATGGTTCCAGGAAACAGGTTACATCCATCCAGAGGAAATACTAATGACTGAGGCTGGCGTACTGCCTTTTATTCTGTGGGGAGGAGGGTTGGGGGAAGCAAGCTAGCCCTGCAACACCCACTTTTCCCAGTATTCCTGTCTTGCAACAAAGATGCACAGGGCACAAACAATGGATGGGACTCAGTCAGATTTTACAGCAACTACAAAAGTCATTCTCCATACATGAAGAGGAAGTTAGAAACAAAAGCAGTTCAGCCACTAAGAACCAAGGAAGGACCAAAAGAACTATTTGTATCACTGGACTGCTAGAAGTACCCACGCTGAGCTGAACCAGGTTATGTTAAGTCCCCTGCAATGCTAGAGTTTCAGCCACCATGGGTGTGGTCAGACCTTCTGTATTACAAAGTTTGGACCTGGTCTTTTTCTGTGACATTAAGGATAAAGGGAGGTAGCCGACTAGACAACTCAACACCCGCAACCCAGACCTGAAGACAAGGTCCAGGCTTCAGAATTCAGGAAGGTGAAGGTTGTGTGGTCATGCATGAGATCCAATGAATCCTTTCACAGTGCAAACTCTCAAATTGTAGCTGCCCAAAAGGTAATCCAAAAGTCAATCTGGACTACAGAGTTATCCCTACAAAAAGGAATTTGTATTATAGTCCAGTGTTTCACATAAGAGCAGGACCCATCCACTTTACACCTGGGATGTGGTCTCTGGCCTGAAACACCAAATGGCCTACCCAACCTTGATTCAGGAATCATCTTGCCTGCCCTGTACAGCAAAGCATTCCCCTCATCCTTAACTCACTGTAGTAAACACTAGGGGAAGTGTGAAAGCTCACCAAACCAGTACAGTGAGGCAACTCCTAGTGCATAAATGACAGGGTTACACCTAGAGTTGTACCAAAGCCCTGGACCCCAGGATGTACTCTGCAGCTAGTGGTAAAAATAACAAAAAATCACCACATTGCAAGAGCTCAAAGGTCACATTCTAGGCTAGCAACTGTCTAGTAAGGTCTGGCCAGTGCAAAGAAGCACCGATTTGTATAGCCAATATTCAGACCACCCCAGTGCTGTACTGAGTGAGAATCCCTAATTGAAGATACCAAAAAAAGTTTCTGTAGGCTAGAGAAAAAAAAAAAAAAAAAAAAGTTTTTGAAGAATGGAAGAGGGCATCCAACCTAGAACACCAACAAAAACTGAGGAAGCATTTGCCAGCATCTTGAGGTGGCAGTAAAACAATTTTTATTTTATGATTCAACATAACTATGCGATTAACCTAAAGCACCATGCCAAGTGCCCTTAAACTGCCATGAAATTGGCTGCTTTATGCAAACTTACACTGCATGACTTGGATGCGCGGCGAAGGAAGTGAAGGGGAAGTGGTCGTCCCAAGTCAAAGTTGAGCTCACGGAGGATAAACATCTCCATTTCCCTAATCTGGGAAGCTGTATAGGCATTGTCTGTGATATAAACAAAGTCTGCAACTTCTGGACTGTACATTTCTTCATATTTGGAAGCCACAAAGAGTGAAGTCACACCAACCAGCTGGAGTTTGCCACGGGAGACAGGTTGAACCTAGGGGGAAGAGTTTAATATTTAGAACAGCTTGTACTACGTATGTAGGGTGCCATTGCTGCCCTGAGGTCTCTAGGGTGACCATCTCTGGCTTTAGTACTTGGGACAGCCAAATTAAAAAGATCAGCAGTACCAACAACTTGAATGCTTTAAGTGACAGTAACTTATTGGACAGCACAGTGATTAGCACTTGGGTCATCAATTCAAATCCCAACCATAGCACACTACTGGCCTGTGGTTTGCATCCAGGTACTCCTGTTCCTTCCCACACTAAAGACATGCTGGTAGGTTCATTGGCTCCTGTCCACGTTGGCCCCATGTATGAGAGTTAGGGACTTAACATCGGTCCCTACCCTCAAGGTCCTTCCAATCTGTGTAATATTGCTAGTGCTATACAAGTAAATAGCTACGCTGACTTTTTTTTTCCCCCCATACGAGGCCTGCAGATTCTTTACTGGTCAGGGTACCCACAATTCCATTTAAGAAAAGGCAACTTACTTGAAGAAACCGATCCATAATAGCAATACCCATGTATAGAGTCTCTTGAAGCAACTGGAACCTAGAGTTAACCTGGATCAGCCAGTCAACCAGGATGGCTCTCATGCGTTCATTGATCTCCATTCCTTCTAGATATCTTTGTTTTATGGACTGCTTGACCTGTGGTAAATGACAAATTGTGAACTTCCACACTGCAAATACCCCCTCCCAAGTTAGGCAGTCAAGACATTATAAAGTTCACTTTTTGTAACAAGTTATGCCCATATTCAGGGTGTAAACATGTTATGAATGGATCAGCCCCTGCATCCCTGTTTTGACAACTAGCAGGGGAAGGATCTTCACACCCCCCCCCCCCCTGCCCAGCTGTCCAAAAGTTAAAAAAAAAAAAAAGTCCATGCAGGGCTGGTGCAATACTTTAAAGGGTTAAGTTCAATTCAACAAACTAATGGTTTTCTTAAAGCAAAGAAAAAAAAAAAAAAAAAAAAACTGTGCAGACCAATGTCTGCATTTCCAGAAAGTTAGATTTAATATATTCTAATTACTTAACTGTCAAAGACCAAAATCTACCATGGTTTGAATCTACAAAAAAAAAAAAAAACAAAAAAAAAAAACAAACAAACCACCATTAGCACAATATCAAGTGCAATCACAACTGTCAAAGGACTGCTTCCCAAGGATAGCCACATGTGTAGAGGTCTACTTTATTAGCCCCCATTAGAGAGATATCCCCATCCAAGTTAAACCATGTGGATGGTGAAATCTGAACTGCTGGCTGGTGTAGTCACAGCTGTCTGGATAACCCAGACAGCAACTGCTTTCATAGAATGCACAGTTCAGCCAACTTAAATCAAGTTTTTACTTATCCAGCCAGCTGGTGCCAGGGCCAGCCGTGGCTCATTTTTGTTTCTGACTCAACACTAAGTGGCCAAACCGTGTGTACAGCTAGAATAGGATATTTTGTTAATCAGTTAAGATGGCATATAGAAGGAGAGTCCAGTCACCTACTGTATATGCATTTACAGACATGCAGATAATTTGTGCCCCAAATGCCTTAAAGCAGGTCTCATTTTAGTAAACATAATACCTCTAGCTGTCTCAAGTAGTTGTAGATATCCATGACATACTCGCTGCAGAGCTGTGGATTACCACCATCATCAGCATCAATGTCTTCCACATTGTTTAGAACCTCAGAGAAAGCTTGACACAGTTCCTCCTCTTCCTTCATGGACACATCCATAGGAACTGGAGAGGCTTCCTTAACAAGCCAAACATGTCAGAAGTCAGTACACCAGATTACTATGACACCTTTAAAATCTAATACAGTTTGTCTGCTAAGGAAAGCAAAGTTCAGTTACAGGAAACTAATTTACTGGTGTTCTAGGCAGTAACCTTGTTATAACTTTCATTCTAACTTACTTTCACTTGTGGGGGAGCCTCAATCACTGTCACAGGTACAACTTTTGGCTTCACACTCACATTTGACACTTTGGTAGTAGCAGGCTTTGATGTTGCATTGGAGTTCTGTAAATTAAACTCTGAAAAGTGAAATTTTTGTAAATGGTTCCCAATTACCAGTCTGTATAAAATTGGGTGTACAATACCTTAACCGCAGGCTGCTTTCCACCTCGCACTGTCACCTTGTTACCAATTTCTCCTAGAGCAGCTCTTCTACCGTTCAGCTGGGCCTTTGATCTCATTGCTCCAACAGCATTGTCTGCTTCACGTGGAATCTGGAAAGAAAAAAAAAAAAAAAAAAAAAAAAAAAAAAAGTTGTGAGCGCAAGATATGCATGCAGATTACTTGCTGGGAGTAATTAATTGAAGATGGAAAGGATAGGGGGGGGGGGTCCTTTTAGATCACACAGAGTAATAGGATGCAATTTCATCCTTAAGAAAGCAAGGCTAGCATTAAAAAGGTTACTTAATGCCAAGAGATAAAAGCAAATCCTATCACTTTACAAAAGTCTGGTTTAGCCACATCTTGAGAAGGCCGTTTTGGTCACCAAGGATATCTTCAAACTGGAGAGAGTCCAAGGGCAAAGTTAAGGGGGCTGGAGGAGCTCAGTTATGAAAAGCCATTGGTTACACTCACAGGGTTTTAAAGTGTGCCATCATCTTAAAAACCAGCCATAGTACTGTGCAACACCATGCAATGTGACTCTTCCTAAGCCACCCGTTTACAAGTCAGAAAGGCCATTGTTAGTAAATGTAGCTGGACCTATATGATACAATCTTTCAACTATGTTTAAACATATTGAAGCAAACCCTTTCATCTATAGTAAAGCTGACTATATACTTTCCCTGTTAAACCCTCCTTATTTGCAACATGCCACCCCTTTAGTTTGCTTACTTTTTAAATTAGTGTTCCTACCCACTGACACCCTACTCTAGCAGAGACTGATATGCTCTGCTCCTAGGGCCTCCCGAGAGCCAGCAGCTTCTATACATCAAATAGAGGGTGCACCTGGTAGCATCAGGGGCTGGCTTCCTAAACTCAGTAAAAGCAGCCAGCTGTCAATGTCAGAAGAGGACATGGTGAGGATCTGGCACAGCTGATCACGCGATGTGGTAAGAGGCCAATCACAGTGGCCTTTTACCACGTGATCAGCAATGTACAATGACACGATCACCGGGAAATGCAATTGCCGGTTCTTGGCTGCACTTTCCTCATGCTGTCAGAGCGCGAGGAACGTACTGCCGAGAACCAGCAGTTGTCAGAGCAGGGATCAGCACCGATCAGGGCACTCATGACCAGTACCCTGATTGGTGCCCAGCAGGGCCACCCACCAGTTCCCAGAAGTGCCACCCACCTGTGCCCACCAATGCAGTGCTGCCAGTCAGTGCCCAGCAGTTGCGCCAGTCAGTGCCACCTATACGTGCCACCTCATTAGTGCTGCCCAATGCTGCCTATCAACGCACATCAGTGGAGAAAAATGGTTTGAAAAATTTTATAATTGAAAGAAAAAAAATCTCTTTACTTTTTGCACTATAAACAAAGTGCAAAAAATGTAAAGTGCCCAGCGGCAATTAAATACCACCAAAAGAAAGCTCTATTTGTGAGGGGGGAAAAAAATAAATAAATAAAAAGGGAAAGAAAAATCTCATAAGGGTACAATCTTGCATGACCGCGCAATCGTCAAAGTGCGACAGCACTGAAAGCTGAAAATTGGCCTGGTAATGAAGGGGGGGGGGGGGGGGGGGGGGGGGGGGGGGGGGGGGGGGGGGGGGGGGGGGGGGGGGGGGGGGGGGGGGACGATTGGTCATTTGTTCTCAAGAGACACCCCTTTGAGATGATAGAAAGACTGAGCCTGGAGAAAAAGAAGCTCTTTAACATCGAACAGGAACCATCTCAGACTTGAGAGCAAAGCAGACTTTTGTTCGGACAGTTGGACTTAAACCAAGAACTTCTGCCTTCTGAACTTCTTATCTCTGTTTTGTTGCTCTGTCAAATCTTTTAAATTACACCATTTTGACCTTTTTAGTAAAAAATCCTATTTTCTGAAAAGTGTGGGGTCTAAAGCTTTTAATGCGAACTGAAGAATCCCTGTCTCTGAAGAGTGCTACTGTATGTGAAAATCCTCTGAATAAATCTGTCTGTGGTGACAGGGTGTATAACAGACGTTTATACTAAGATTTGTGAGTTTCCTCCTCTGTAAAAAGGTGGTGTGGCAGTGTGAAGGGTTAATTGTGTAATTAACCTGACCCAGTAACAATCGCTCTCAGGCTGCTGGCACAGGTTGTGGTCCCACGAGCTGGAAAATCTTTGTGCAGGGCGCAGCTGAGAATGGCATTGTTACACAACGTGACAGTGTGGTGTGAGATCGGCTGGTCCTGCAGTCACGAGTTGGTAAGAAGGGCTGGGGTCTGATGCCATGCACCGTCACAGAGGACCTTACAAAAAAAAAAAAAAATTGCTTTTTGTGCCCTAAAATAAAGTAGATTTTACTGAAACTGTTTGCTAGATCTTTGCAATATCATGCAAACAACTACCACCATTTTATTCTCTCTAGGGTTTTTGCCTTCAGAAAATATGATGTTTGGGGGTTGTGTAATCTTAAAGCCTAAAACTCTTTTTAAACAAATGGAAAAAAAAAAAAAATGGATCTGGCATCAAAAAGGATTAAGGATAAGCCAGACACTACCCTAATGAGCACCCAATTGGTGCTCATTACACTTCACGGTCTCTCCCCTCCCTGCTAGTTGCTGGGTGCAGTGCTGGAGACCGGCAGGTAGGGGACATACAGAGCAATGTAAAAAAAAAAAAAATGTAAAAAAAAAAAAAAAAAAAAAAAAAAAAAAAAAAAAAAAAAGTAAAAATGTTTAAGTTACCATAGAGCACTTTTGATTTTAAGAGTACCAAACATTCCTAACAGCATCTCAGGATTAAATACGGTTTTGGTTAATATTGATTTTTTTGTTTATCAGGACCAGTAGATTCTCATGCAGGACAAAGTAGACTGGGACACTGATTTAGTCCCTGGACAAGTAGCTTTTTCAAAAATTTCCACACCCCTGCATACTATACAATTCTTTAACTTCAAAATGAAATAAGGATACAGCTGATCAATCAATTCAGTTTGAAATAAGCAGAACTAAACTGTATGTGATCACCGCAAGCTGAAAACACGATTCAACTCTATATATAATATATTATATATATATATATATATATATATATATATATATATATATATATATTATAAATATATATATTATATATATATATATATATATATATATATATATATATATAATATATATATATAATATAAAATAAAAAAAAAAAAAAAAAAAAAAAAAAAAAATAGCGCATTCCAGTGAAATCCTACTCACACCCCATTCTACAAATGGAAAGATGACTATACTTACCTATGCTGAGGGTACACATGATCGGATCCCAGTGCTGGCTTCAGTGTAGAAGAGGGGCAGCCAACAATGGATGCCCCATAAGCCTATGAGTGTCATCACCCAGGCTCCGCAGCCACTGGCAATCTCCTCTAGACAAACTGCTGGCAAGATCATGTGACTGGACTGAGGCACCTCAGCATACCCAAAGTAGAGACATCGTTCCTTTACAAAGTAGTTAGAATAGACCTATAACTGGGTGGGAGCAGGTTTATGTAACTAAAATAAGTGCAGCGCTGGGTGCAATTCGGACAAATTTATGGTGGCAATGTTCATAAATGGGTTAGACCACAAAAATAAGAGCTCAGGTGATATAATATTCCCACGGTCGTAGTTGAAGTAAGACTCGGTGAGGGGCAAGGTATGTATAAAATGCGCACTTACTGGAAGCGCAAACAAATTGCGCAATATATCAACAAAATGGAGGTCTGCCAGGGGGTCCCTTTCAGGATAGAGCCAGCCTAGGATGAAGGGACATAGTCTTGATAAATGTTCTCAAACTGGAGGTCCACTTTAAGGACATGGTGCAGTCTCTTCAGTGCAGTGGAATGGTCACCAAGGGGAGCTCTGGGGGATTAAATGCTCAATGCAGAGCAACAATGGAAATGCCCATAGTTTAGTAATGTTAGAAAAATTTAATGAAGGATATTCTGCAGCAGCAAAGAAATATATATATCCTCTTACATTAAATGCTGAACATGCCAACAGCCGTGTCAGAGCAATAGGTAGGAAAAAAAAAAAAAAAAAAAAAAATGCAGCAACTTGTTATGAGCACTAACCAGCTAGTGATCAAATGAGGCCGCCGGATCTCTGACGTCAAAGCTTGCAGGCTCCTCCAAGACACGTTTCGTACACTAGTACATCTTCAGAAGGGGTGTGCCATGCAGGTAGACGTCTTGTGTGCCATTTATACTGTATACTGGCGATTTGCCTATTAACGGCCGCCATCTTGCCAAAGACCGGAGCGCACCGCGCATGCGCAAAATGGCCACCGCAGAACACTACGCATATGCGAGTCGGCCGCCACCATTTTGCCTTGGTCTAAAGACTATTGCTATGCTGGTGAATGCACATAGCTGGATGTAAAACACTGACAGTCTGCAGAGCAAGGCTACATTAACACAAAGTGTGGGGCAACAACAAGTGGAACATACTTATGGATACAGGACAGTGTGTTTGCTACAGAAAAAAGGGGGGCTAAAGGCAAATTATAATACAGCCTTCAGCTGTACTTACACAATCAGAAAGTCACTTTATTATAAAAACGTGCAGGACCAAATAGGGGTCCTGAATACAGATCATATAAAAAAATAAATAAAAACGCCAAAAAGCTGTATAAAAGCAACCATACTATATGAATGCATCAAAATAAGTATAAAAACCAGTATTAACTAAAAGTGCTTTAAAAAAAAACAAAACCTTCCTATCCATTTACTAAGGCATGGGTACTGTAACAAATCACTTAAGTGGCCCTTGCTCTTCAAAAGGTTACCAGTTGCAGGAAAAAAAAAAAAAAAAAAAAAAAAAAACACTTGCAATGCCAAGCTGCAATTTCTAAAGCAAGCAAAATCATCTTGTATTAAAAGAGGATATCCAGAGAGATATATTACCCCTGTACAAATCATTAGTAAGACCTCATCTGGAATATGTAGTTCAGTTTTGGGCACCAATTCACAAAAGAGAACATTGGGGAACTGGAGAAAGTACAGAGCAGGGCAACTAAACTGATAAGAGGCATGGAGGAGCTCCGCTATGAGGAAAGATTAGAGGAACTGAATTTATTCTCTCTTGAGAAGAGGAGATTAATGGGGGATATGATCAACATGTATAAATACATCAGTGGTTCACATAGTGAACTTGGTGTAGAGTTATTCACCCTGAGGTCATCACAGAGGACAAGGGGCACTCTTTACGTCTGGAGGAAATGAAATTTAATCTCTAAACACGGAAAGGTTTCTTCACAGTGAGAGCTGTGAAAATGTGGAATAGACTCCCTCAAGAGTTGGTTCTGTCCAGTTCAGTAGATTGTCCTAAAAAAACCTGGATTCTTTCTTGGATACACAGAATATAACTGGATACTAACATTTATAGGTAAAGTTGATCCAGGGAATATCCGAGTGCCTCTCGGGGGATCAGGAAGGAATTTTTTCTCCTGCAGGAGCAAATTGGATCATGCTTTGCTGGGTTTTTTTGCCCTTCCTCTGGATCAAACTGTGGGTGTAGGATTATAACATTAAGGGTTGAACTTTTGTCTTTCAGCCAGACTAATTTTTATATTTTGAACATTTTCCATCTGCAGCCACTGAAAGCTGGTGGGAGGGAGAGAAGCTAGTTGCCTCTCCTGTCCAAGGGGAAAGGACAATGTGAGAGGCCTCACAGGCCCCCTGGAGTATGGGGTGAAGTCACCATTGCAAGCCCTGACTACACCAGATGTGGTAAAAACCTGCATCAGGCATGGGGTTTTACAACCCCCCCCCCCCCCCCCCCAAACAAGGCCTTACTATCTTGAGCCCCGTATAAGGATGTTTTAACAGATGTGCTACAGTTTACCCACACTGCATGTGCACTTGCTATAGACTACCAGCATATCTTGTACACCAGAACTAGGAGTGCACTTCCATGGTTTGAAGTAGAGGGCCATATCAGAGGCCCTCTGCAGAAGGCCACAGGCTGAGCAGCCCTGTACTAAGGCCAGCAGCACAAAGAGAATTACTACAGATTGAGAGTTTAGTTTCCCCTTTAACCGCCTCCTGCCCACCATATAGTAAAAATGACGGATGCAAGGCGGTTCTCTTGTTCTGGGAGGACATCATGACGTTCTCCCATCTAACAGAGCATGCGCGGCTCAGGGAGCAGACACAGTGGATCACTGATCAACAGAAAGAGCTGAAGATGTCAGCTTGGTCATGTGATGAGCTGTGTCCAATCACAGCTGATCACATGTAAACAGGGAAATGCCGGTTGTCGGCATTTCTCCCCCAACGAGCTGTCACGCTGACAGCTCGAGAGGAGAGCCAACAACAAGCATCCCTCAGAGGGGACATGTACACGTGTGCCCCGATAATCTGTGTAGCCCCAGCAGTGCCACATTTCAGTGCCTCATTAACACACGTCAGTGAAGGAGAAAATTCACTTCACAAAATTTTAGAACAAAAACTTCTCTTCAAAATTCAGTGGTTTTAGGTTTGTTTAAGAAAAATAAACTCAGGAGGTGATTAAATACCACCAAAATAAAGCGGTCACACACACAAAAAAAAAAAAAAAATATAAACATTTCATATGGGTACAGTGTTGCATGACTGCACAATTATCAAAGTGCAACATCGCTGAAAGCTGGAAATTGGCATAAGTGCCCTGTAGGCTAGCAGTTAAATCAGGCAGATCCTCATACCAATCGATGAGAGTCAAGAATGGAGAGTATGTCACATAAACACGATACTAACCCCTAGTTCACATCTTCAGGTGCAGCTGCTGCACCACCCTCACAAATGACTGGAGCTGCACCACCCACACACAGGAAGGCAGGTGCCATTAATTCTACTCCACCCACACTGAAAATCACAACTGTACTGGGAACCTCAGTTCTGGGTGGGCTGTGATTGCTAAAGTAGTGCAAAGACTACGGCCCTGTGTGGCCCAGGGCACAGGAGTCCATTCAAATGAACAGGCTCATACCCATGAGAATTATGGACCACACAAATGTGAAGGGATAAAGAATATTCCCAACTTTATTTATTCATAAACACACAAACACACCTCTCATCCTCCAACTCCTTTTTCTGTGGCAATCTGACTTCCTATTACAGGGGAGCTAGGATCCCCCCATATGTTGGAACATACTGCTCTCCTTCCTGAGAGAAGGATGTACTCTGGGATGTGTAGTGTACATGGCCACAACTAACCTCATTCCAAAACAAAGGGAAGAGGAGAGATTCAGGAACTCACATTAGAAGGGGCAGGGAAAGTTTCCTGCGACTCCAGGGCCAGGAAGTGGATGAATGGATTGTTTGGGGAGAAGGAACTCATTCCATGTCACTGGATCATGGATGGCCGCCACCAATATTCAGGCAGGGAAGGTGCTGAGCGGCTTCCATACAGCAACACCTCCCCCCCATACAGCAGCACACCCTCCCTGTAGCCGGCCTCCTTGCTCTAGCAGTCCAGGATCAGGCCCGGGGATTGCTCACACAGGAAGGGGTGATCACACTGCCCCACACCGGTCATGCTCAGGAACGTCCCGCAGCTTAGGCCTCACAGAGCTCTGTAAATCTGCACCGAATGACGCCCTATAGCCAGCCATAGCACCGCGAACTACAGAAAGACGCCACACACACCGTACTTACAGCAGCCCGGCGGGTAGCCATGATTACTATCGCGCCAGCCCCTGCCGCCAACCGACCAGCTGCTCCGCTTCCTTCCGATCACCAGAAATTCTACACACGTCTACCGAGGAAACCCAACAAACAATTTAAATATCGCTCCCCGCCTGCCTATTGGTCCGCTTGTCAGCATGTGATTTCTTCCTATTGGCTGAGCGCACTCGGCGCAAGGAGTTGCGCAGCCGCAGAAACCGGGCTCCCATCAATTTGTAGCCATACTATGAACTCCCTTTGGGCCCGTACTAGGCGTATGGCGACTGTTGCATTCCTGGTGTACAGTGTTTACATGCATGAATGTACAGTATAGATTTGTTCATAGGATTGCTAAATATATCGCGAGACGTCAACGAATGAGAGGCATCATGGGAAATGGAGTTTGTTTCTTTTGGTTCCACCCGTATTTATCTTCAGGGATTGGTCCAGGTGTGCGTACATGGCCGTTGTTGGACTACAATTCCCGGCATCCCTGGTGCAGGGACGTTAGCGAGGTGGCCTGCCGCCATTTTGCCAAACACATTGTGTGTCCATGCTTGTCATGTTAGCGGCTTTGTACTCCTGCAATAAAACGTTTGTGAAAATAGTTGTTCATGTTTCAGGAGTTGGGGCCAAGAACAGCGAGTGTTAGCTTTGCAGGTGCTGATGATTTGTAGATGCTACAAGGTCGAGGCCTAGTTCGCAGAGCAGGCAGGGGTCCCCAGTACGTCTAGAAGTAGAACTAAAGGGAAAAACCTTGTTTTCCATTTTGGGTAGCGCAAGGGCATGTTCACACCAAATGTGCTGCGGGAAACCTGCATTTCTAGGCACATTCACCGCTAGGGTTGTCACCTCATCCATTCAAAACTGAATACATTATTTACACAGGTCCTGTGGCTGATTAACCACTTGCCTACCAGGCACATATACCCCCTTATTTACCAGGCCAATTTTCAGCGCTGCCCACTTTGATTGACAATTGCGCGGTCATGCAACGTACCCATATGAAATTTTGATCATTTTTTTCTCACAAATAGAGCTTTCTTTTGGTGGTATTTAATCGCCACTGGGCGCTTTACTTTTTGCGCTATAAATTGAAAAAGTGCAAAAAATTTGAAAAAAAAAAAAAGTTTCTTTGTTTCTATTATAAAATTTTTCAAACAGGTATTTTTTCTCCTTCACTGATGTGCGTTGATAAGGCAACACTGATGGGCAGCACTAAAGGGCACTGATAGGTAGTACTAATGAGGTGGCACGGATAGGCGCACACTAATATGCAGCATAGGCTGATAGGTGATAGGTGACACTGATGATGGGTACTGATAGACGGCACTGACTGGCATCACTGCTGGGCACTGACTGGCAGCACTGCTGGGCTGCACTGGTGGGTGGCACTGGTAGGTGGGCACAGGTGGGTGGCACTTCTGGGCACAGGTGTGTGACACTGCAGAGTGGCACAGGTGGGTGCACTGCTGGGCACAGGTGGGTGCACTGCTGGGCACAGGTGGGCGGAACTAGTGGGCGCACTGCTGGGCACAGGTGGGCGGAACTAGTGGGCGCACTGCTGGGCACAGGTGGGCGGAAACTTGCGGGTGGCATTGCTGGGCACCGATCATCAGGGCACTGATCATCAGTGCCCTGATGATCGGTGCCGATCCCCGCTCTGACAACTGCCGGTTCTCCGCAGTACTTTCCTCACGATCTGACAGCGTGAGGAAAGTGCAGCCGAGAAGCGGCACTTGCATTTCCCTGTGATCAGCGTGTCATTGGACACCGCTGATCAAGTGGTAAAAGGCCGGTATGATTGGCCTTTTACCACATCACGTGATCAGCTGTGTCCGTAGGACACAGCGATCATGGAGATCGCCGGGTGCGCGCCCCAGAGCGCGTTCTAGGAGGACGTCATATGACGTCCACTCAGAACTGGCCGGCCGCAGTTTAGCCGTCATTCGGCTATCTGCGGTCGGTAACTAGTTAAGGTGGAAATTAACCCCTTGCCTACAGGGCACTTATACCCCCTTCCTGCCCAGGCCACGTTTCAGCTTTCAGCGCTGTCAGTGTTGAATGACAATTGCGCGGTCATGCAACACTGTACCCATATTACATTTTTTTGAGACAGCTTTCTTTTGGTTGTATTTAATCAGTCGGTTTTTATGTTTTGAAAAACAACTGAAAATTTTGGAATTACTTTCTGTTATACAGTTTTGTAATCGAGTAATTTTTCTTCTTCACTGATGTGCGCTAATGAGGCTGCAGTGATGGGCACTGATAGGTAGCACTGATGGGTATTGACAGGCATTCACAGCCATCACTGATGGGCACTGAAAGGCAGTACTTATATATGGCACTCGCTGGCACTGTTAGGTGGCACTGACATCCTCCTAGATTGTAAGCTCCAAGCAGGGCCTTCCCAACCCTCTTGTATTGAACTGTATTGTTACTGTATTGTCTCCCATTATAATGTAAAGCGCTGAGCAAACTGTTGGCGCTATATAAATCCTGTATAATGATGTTAGGTGGCACTGATTGGCAGCACTCATAGGTGGCACTGGTAGTTAGCACTGAAAGGCAACTCAGATGGGTACTGATATGTGGCATTGATGTCCACTGGTAGGAACTATGTGGCATTGATGGGCAATGACAGGTGGCACTGATCATCAGATCAGTGTAGATGTCCCCTCTGAGGGATGCCGATTACCGGCAGCGTGACAGCTCGTGAGGAGAGAAATGCCGATAACCAGCATTTCCTTATTTACATGCGATCAGCTGTGATTGGACACAGCTGATCACACGACAGAGCCAAAGTCATCTGCTCTTTCCGCTGATCGGTGATTCGCTGTGTCCCAGGGACACAGCGCACCACTGATCGTCACGCTGTGCACCCCCAGGGACATCATATGACGTGCTCCCAGACTGAAAGAACCACCTTGGGCCTATCCTTTGGCATCCTTCTATGGCGGGTAGGAGGCGGTTAAACTCGCATAGTGCCTTATCTGCAATAAATTATCCCCAGAATCTGTGTAATTAATATGTGTTGGGTTCTAAAGGTGGTGACCCTATTCACTGCACAGGAATGGGCTGCCCTTATGAGACACGTGTGGATGCCATTAATTGTTAACCACTTGCCCTCCAGAGGATTTAATAACCTTCCTGACCAGGCCATTGTTTACGTTACGGCGCTGCATTTCTTTGACAATTGCACGGTAATGCAACGCTGCACCCCAAATGAAATTTACATACTTTTTTTTCCCACTAATCGAGCTTTCTTTCGGGGGTATTTGATCGCCTGTGCGTTTTTTATTTTTTGCGCTATAAAAAAAAGACCGTCAATTTGAGAAAAAATAGTTTTTGACTTTTTGCTATTAACCATTTGCCGCCCACCCTATGGCCGAATGGCGGGCGCAAATGTCATCAGCGTCCGGGTAGACGCCATATGGCATCCTCCTGCACATGCGCAGATTGACAGATCTAAGTATCGGCCCCGTTGCCGGTACCATGTAACCTGCTGTGACCAATCACAGCAGGTCACATGACAGTTGTATAAAATGGATGGCTTCATTCATGCCATCCATTGTATACTAGTGTCTAGCTGTGAATGGTCACAGCTAATCACATGCACATGTCATGTGATTAGCTGTGGCCAAATCACAGCTAAGCACAAAGAAAAAAAAAAAATCCTGAATGAATCGATGTCATTCAGGTAAATGCTTGCTTATAACAAAGTAATTCTTTGCTATAAGCAAATTGTGTAAAAAAAAAAAAAAAAAAATACTGATCACTTCCCCAAAGTAGTACAATGTTACTATGGTAACATTGTACTACTTTGGTCATAGTGAAATATGAAAAAAAAAAATCTTAAAAAAATAAAAATAAAAAAAAATATAGAATATTTTTTTTTTTTTCATACTGTCACCAGTGTCCCTGATCACCGCCATGCCAGTTATATGATGACGCTGGACTGCACTGGTGACAATATGTAAAAAACAAATAGTGTATCTAATTTTTTTAATTTTCAAAAAAATTATGACAAAAAAAAAAATACAACTTCAAAAAACTCGCCATGCCTCTTATGAAGTACGTCGGACTGTCTACTTTGCAAAAAGGGGTCATTTGGGGGATATCTGTACTGTTCTGACATTCTTGGACCTCAAGAAATTAGATTGGCCGTCAGTACTTCAGGATTGATCAATATTCGGATCTATACCATAGTTTGTGAACCCTATAACTTTCCTACAAACTAAAAAATACATCCTAATGTGGGTTATTTTCACCAAAGACATGTAGCAGAATACATCTCGGCCTAAATTTATGAAGAACAATTATTTATTTGCAAACTTTTATAACAGAAACAAAGAAAAAACTTTTTTTTTTCAAAATTTTTGGTCTTTTTTTGTTAATTTAGCAAAAAATAAAAATCCCAGTGGTGATTAAATACCACCAAAAGAAAGCTCTAGTTGTGTGAAGAAAATTATAAAATTTTAGTTTGGGTACAATGTTGTATGACCGCGCAATTGTCAAAGTGTGAGTGCTGAAAACTGGCCTGGGCAGGACGGTGTAAAATTGCCCTGTATTGAATTGGTTAAACGTGAAAAAGTAAAACTTTTTTTTAAAAAATCAAATTTCGTTATAAATTTAAGCCAAAATGTATTCTGCTACATTTCTCTGCTAAAAAAAATCCCAATACGTGTAAATTAATTAGTTTACGTGAAAGTTATAGCGTTTACAAATGGCGGTGTATATATATTGGAATTTTTTTATTACTAGTAATGGCGGCAATCAGCAACTCTTAGCGGGACTGCAGCGGGCATTCTGACACTGGGGGGGGTAACTGACTTGGTGGCACTGACATCCCCAGTGAAACCAATACAGTAATCAGTGCTAAAAAAAAAAAAAAAAAAAAAAACACTGACACTGTACTAATAGCACTGGGCAGGAAGGGGTTAACATCTGGAGTGATGAAAAGGTTAACTGTGTGCTGGGAGTGTTTTACTATGGGGCGAAGTGTTAGGCTGGCCATACACTATACAATTTTCTGTCCAATTTTCTTTAGATTCACTTTCAACTGTGTAGTGCAAGGGCCTGCTGAATTGGATACAAGTGAAAGAGTTGTTTAGGTTTGACCTCCTATTATATGGTTTTTGGTATATCTAAAGCAATTTTCTAAAGAAAATTGTATAGTGTATGGCCAGCGTTAGTGCTTCACTGTAATCACATTGCTTTCTACTGTATGGTTGTGTTGTGCACTGCCATGCAAAGCAGTGTGCGCGAGCTGACAGGGAGGAGAACTGTTTTGTTTACAAACAGTTCTCCTTCCCATCGGAGATCCTTGGCAATCACCAGGCGCCAGCAATTAATCACTGGGACCCAGTGATTGACAGCCACAAATGGTGGCGCAGTTAGGGCGCGCGCACGCCCCCTTCCTGGAAATGTAAAATCACGTATATATACACGTGGTTTTGTGCACCCATGCCACCCTGTAGCAGTATTTCTGCTATAAGTTGGACGGGAAGCGGTTTATGGCACCCCAATCTAGCAAATGCACCTTGCAGCCACTAAAACGAAGTACCACAATACCATGTGATTCGATGTGGCGCGACTTTCAAAGTTGCACCTGCCGTGCTTTTTGTGTGTTTCCATGTGTAGGCAGCCTATGGTCTGTCAAAAATGTGCCGTGTGGGAATACACTACAAAATGAGCACATTGTGGTATGTACCGGCCCTAAGAGCCCATTCATACTAGAAACTGCACATCTACTGCACGTTTTGTTTTGCACATTTGCTTGCACCTGATGCATGTTTTTATGTGTGTTTACATGCAATTGACACACGTGTTTCTATCTGCATTTGTCCTGTGAGGTCACTTCTCTCCTTGGGCTTTTATGTGCACAGTGATGCATTGCAATGCATTTGTGTGTGTTTACATGAGTTTTTGTATGTTTGCATTGTGGCCCTTTGTTTGCTTTTATCCGGCCCTTGGGGCACTATTTCATCCTCTAATACCAACAATATAGCATAATTCCCTTCACTGAGACCAATGATGGGCACAATTCCTCCCAATGACACCAATGATGAGGCGCCATTCCTCCCACTGATGTTGGGACCTTTTCTAATCCCAATGGCCAGTTTGGCCCTGCCAAAGTGTAAAGGACAGTAAACGGCCCTTTGTTTAGAAAGTTCAGAGACCCCTGTTCTATAAAGTTGGAATGCAGTCAAAAATGCATCCAACTGCACCTAGTGTGAAAGGGCCCTAAGGGTTTTCACACAGGCATCATGAGTTCAGTCAGGTTTCTTGCCAAGAAAGAAATGATGAATACGGAATGCAAGTTACATCTGTTCACTTCAGTTTAACACGTTCAGTTACACCAGTTTTTGAATCATTCCTTTTTTTTTTCTTTAGTTGTCGAAGAAACCAATCATAAGTGACAAAAGTATAAACAAAAATGTTTTTCTTAAGGGCCAGTTGACACCAGAATCACACATAAATGTGTTCCACATTCCTGCTTGTTCCCCTACAGTGCAATTTTGCAGCCCAATTTTGTACCCTAGACAGCACATTGAATGAGAGGGTGGGGACATAAGCCATGTATCCAATCAACCATGTATTCATCCCTCAGAATGTTTGTGGTTGGTGGCCTGCCCCCTTGCCGATGATTGGCTAAACGTTAAAGCCATACAAGCTGTAGCCATCTGCATCTTTTGCGCATACATGGTGGCATACCTGGAAAGGCTCGTGTTTTATGTTACAG